GGGTTTAGGGTTTTAGGGTTCAAGGCTAAATCCTAAACACTAAGCCGTTGCAGTTGCTGCTGCTATATCCTCCTCATCTATCTGTCCTGGTCTCGGATACCGGGCTTCGACGATTTGGGGCTTATTCCTTTGGGATGCAAGATTTACTTAGACCCCCCGCCCCCCCCCCAACTACCCTCTATTATACCCCCCAAATACCCACTATTAAGGACCACAAGGGCTCTAGTAAAGGCCCCTTGGGGGGTCCTGGTCGGGATTCCGAGTCAAAGCATCTCAGGTTTGGGGATTCGAGGTTTGGCTTTAGAGCGGGCGGAAGGTGTATCGCGGTTTCCGGCGCGTGGTTCAGCTCTACATAGGGGCTTGGATGATAAGGATCCTACTGCCGGGAGCTCGGAAATTTTGGTCCCAGATGCCTTAAAACCCTATCTAAGCCCAAAAACCGTACCTTTGAACAAGGGCTTATGGCCACAAACAACTAGCACATGTACCTGTTTTACGGTACCTTGGTACCTTTAGGTAAAACTCAAAGAACTGACTCGATTTCCCAAGAACCACTGACGTCGAGCAGGTTGGGCTTCGGACCCTTCTTTACGTTTAACTTTTGATCTTGCTTAGGGAGGGCTTAGGGTTTAGCGTTTCGGGCTTTAGGTTTAAATCTTTTGCGGTTCAGGGTTGGGGCTTTGCAAGAAGCACTGAAAAAGCCAGAAGGCATCTGGGTCAGCACGGGGCTCTGTCTGCTGAGGCAGGAAATGTTCCCGGCACATCCTCAGAAGCTCCGCAATCCCCCGGCGGTTTCTAGCACCAAAACCAAGTATCTCAATCGAAGCCGCGTTGACAGCTGTCAGGATGTAACTGATACATAAGTTCAAAAGGAAGGGGTTCTGCGAATGGAAGAGTTTAGAAATGTTCAAGGCGATGGTCGGGTGTTAACTTCAGGATTTGGCGCAGTTCAGGGTTCAGGGTTAAAGGGTCATCGAGCACTTCTCTGTTAGATTCAGGTTCGGACGGCGGTCAAGAGAACACCAAGAACAAATGGGTGGGGGCTGTATAGTACTTCGTAACCCTTGTGGCAACCCTCATGGGAATCCTTATGGTTGTCCTTCTAAAAAGTAAAAGCAGCCGTATTAATGAGTAGGATAGTAGCCCGGAATACATAGCCCTTACAGTATAGGAGTTAGGATTTGGGGGACCCCTGACCAAAAGGACAGCAACCCTTCTGGTAAAGGCAGGAGTCTTATTCACTTCGGAAACGAGTGCCTCAAGCAAGCTTGCCAGCGGCTCCGTGCGGAGCTGCGGTAGGCCGGGCACCGTTTGCTGCGCGACACGTACAGAAGACGGCCGAATCTCTGCTAGCATACGCAAAACGGGATTGGATACTAGGGACTCTCCCATGATGTCCAGCCGTCGCATCCACTGCTGACGAACGTGCGAAAGTCTTCTGTAAAGCTCCTGCTTCTTGATATCCAGCGAATCTGCACCTCCAGACTCACTGCGCTGCACTGCTGAGTCCACTTCAGGTGCCACTGCAGGGGACCGAAGCACGACGGGAGCCGGTTTTGGAGGTGGTGCAGCCAGATCCGACGGCACAGGAGAAATGCGAAAGAAGGCACTTTGGTCGGTAGATCGCATCCTTCGCAATCCTTGCTCCGACACGGAGAGGGCAGCATAACTCAGACCATTCGCCAGCTTCGCAGGCTTTTCCTCCAGGAATCCTGCTCGGAGAACATGTGGGAGAAAAGCCTTCCACCAGCTGTGGGCCTTGTGACGTCCACTCCCAAAGGCAGGATGCGTGTGAAGGTTCCGAGCCTTGAGCTTGTCGACCAATTGGCCTGCGGCCAGCGCACAGGGCAAGGCAGACCCAGTGAAGCCACCGCATGCCGAGACACACTGGAGCAGGATGCGGCACTCTTGCGTGAAGTCGCCATCTTCTGGCGAATTCGTAATCGGAAGCTTCCTTTCCTGACACACGTCACACCAGGAGCAGCATGCAGGAAGGCTCCCGACTTGAATGCACTCTCCTTTGCGTGGCTCTTGCGGTTCGCTGTTCAGCCTCTGAGGCTCTTCGCCGAAGTGCTGGAGAAGTCGCACGCGCCGGCACTGGCTGCTGTCTGCCAGGAAGGCTGCGAGCTTGGAGTGCAAGAGAAGCAGGTGCCTCAATACTACTATATTATTATACTATATTCTTACTATATGATTACTACATTATTACTAGAGTATTACCATATTCTTACTATATTATTGCTATTCTATTACTAGATTATTACTATAATACTACTGTTATTAAACCGTGCCTCGAATGCTCATCGTTGGCCTTAGAGCCTTGGAGTATCAGAGTCTTGGCTTCTTGGAGATCCTGCGGTTTAAAGAATGTGATGCACTCTGCATCCTCTCCGTCGCGCCCAGCCCTGCCGCATTGTTGCACGTAGCTCTCCAGCGAGTGTGCTGCACCATAGTGAATCACGCGGCGAATAGAGGCCTTGTCTATGCCCATTCCGAAGGCAATGGTAGCCACAACCACTTGAAGTTCATCCATCAAGAATGCTCGGTGCATATCACGTCGGTCCTGCATGGGCAAACCGGCATGATAGGATGCCGCAGCCACACCGGCTCTACTCAGCAGTGCGGCCAGCTCTTCGCAACGCGCCTTGGTCTGTACATACACGATGGTGGAGGACGTTGGTTCGATCTGGGTGTTGTCTATCACCCTCTCAGACCCGTGAGATGACAAGCCAAAGATGTGAGTCATATCCTCCTCGAAGGTCCTGCGTGGCTGCACGATGTACTTTAAGTTCGGGCGGTTCATGGGTCCGACGATGTGCACGCAGTCCGAGAGACCCAAGCTCCGCTGTATGTCATGTCGCACCTCCTTTGTGCATGTCGCCGTCAGGCACCTGACACCACTGGCAAAACTACCAAGACATGACTCTCGTCCTGCTGCTGCCCAGGGATATAGGGGCCGGCAAAACTGATTCAAGCTGCCCAGACCCCTAAACCTTAAACTCCCTAAACCCAAAACCCAATGCGAACTACTATTTTAGAGGCTCCTTATTGTGATAATAAGTTCAAAAACAGATATACCCCCTGATACCCTGTTCTATTCTAATCTTTCATGATTAAGGCCCCTAGGACAATGGGAGTCCGAGCAACATGGTCGGTACCTGGCCGAGGACCTCACGCAAGCGGCCCAGCTGCTGGTAGACCGGCCGGAAGTCGTGTCCCCAAGCCTGGGTTTAGGGTTTAGGGTTTAGGGCTTAGGTTTTAGGGTTTAGGGTTTTTGGGTCTTTAGGGTTTTTAGGGTTTGGGGTTTAGGGCTTAGGGCTTAGGGCTTAGTGTTTAGGGCTTAGGGTTTAAGGGTCTATAGGGCTTAGGGTTTAGGGGGTTAATAGGGTTTAGGGCTTAGGGTTTAGGGGCTTAGGGGTTTAATAGGGTTTAGGGCTTATAAGGGTTTAGGGGGATTTAATTTAAGTTACCATAATAGGGGATCTATAGTAAAAAAAAGGCTTCCTATTATGGTAAATTAAACTTAATTCCCTTAACCCTGAATGCTAAACCCTAAACCCTTTATTATGGTAACTTAAACAAAAATCCTTTAACAAGAACCCAGAAGCAGAGATACAGTGCGCCTCATCGATGGCCAGCACGCAGAGCGCTTGCCTTCAAAGTAATCTTGATTCTTGCACTTACACTGTTGCAGCCGTAAACCCTAAGCCCTATAAACCCTATAAACCCTTATAAAACCCCAAACCCTGCAGAGGTGGACAAAAGTAATGTTGATTCTTACGGTTACACTGTTGCAGTGCTGCTTGATGTAGAGGGTAGCTTGGTACTTTCGCTCGTTTTTTAGTGCTTACTCTATACTGGAAGTCACGACGATGCCCTCTAGATCCTGACCTAAACTCTCAGCACACCCACACCCCACCCACACCACACAGACGGACATGCGGACGGACGGACAGAGACACCCACACAAAGCGAAACAACGATGCCCGACACCCGAAATGACCTTGGCCGAAACGATCAAAAGATCCCCACACGCCTCACTCCAGCAATCTCCGCCAGGTGTCCTAAGGCAAACTCCGGACCTTGGACGCCGGCGCTTGAGACTTTGGAGGTGGATTGAGCTGCGGTATACGGCGTTAGGCAAGCGTTTGCAAAATTGCAACCACGCTTCAGTTCTGCACTCGCGTTTCACTCCTGTGAGTGGGTAAAGGATGCAGCGTAGAGTGCCACAAAGCACATGTCGTAAGTCCCTAAACCAAAAAAATCTATACAGCCAAGAAATCGCAAGACTCTGCGCCCACATGCCATGGCACAAGCCAAGTTGCTCATGTAGACCACCCGGTACTGACCAGATGTGACAGAACTCCAGCAAAATGAGTCCTGGTTTATGGTTGTCGTGCTTCTCGGGTGCGGGCGCGGAAGATGATAAATATTATGGACAATATGATTGGGAGTATAATAATGGCGATTGTGATGAACACCAAGAAAAGGTGACAGCAACTAGAGCTACGGTTGATGGAGGAAATCTTGCACCACCTATTTAATAGCAAGTGAAGCGACACATGAGCGTAACCCCGCACCCCCCTGTTTAACATTGACGATGATGGATACCGAGGTGGTGCAAGATTTTTGTCATTGGAACCCACGGCACTTCGGAGGATCAACAGTCAATGTTAAGAAGGGGGTGCGGGGTCTCTGCTTTGCTCGGTCACTTAAAGTGGTGCAAGATTTCCTCCATCAACAGTAGTAGCAACACCAGCACTAGCACCAGCACAAGCAACTGCACTAACAGTAGCAGAAGCAGCAGCAGCAGCAGCAGCAAGCCACAGCAGCAAGCCACAGCAGCAGTAGTAATAGCAGTGGTAGCAAGGTCTTTGAAGTGAGTGAGTTCGAGCTGGCAAGGCAGTGGCAGCTGCTAGCCTGGATGCGGCGCAGCAACTCCTGGCACGATGTCCCTTTATGCAAGGTGTTCGAATAGGCCGGAGATTTTTGGGTCGGGTAAGTAGAGCATAACGAGTTCTGCTTAGGATGCGGGTCGGGAGATGAAGGCTTGCCCTTTGAGGGCTCATTCTTTCTTTCGGGGCCTTCAACACTACCCCCATGTCAGGCGTGGCAGAGGAGTATCTGAAGCTCCAGGAGGTGGGCACTTGGCTGGGGGGTAGCGCGGTTTGGGCCTTTCTCCCGGTCCAGAAGACTCAATACAGAGTTGAAGGGAACTGAGATTGTTTGAGTATTATAATCAAATTTCCTCCATGGGCCCCGAGATTTCTTGAACTCCACGCTTCGGAGCCTTTCCCACGAATATACGATATTCAAGCCTAGATGTTGCGCCGTGTGTGATCACTTTCATTCGCATGCGACGCCTGCTGGAATTGCAAGGACGTCTCCGCAATCTTTGACGAGGAACAGCCAGGCAGCCTTGCCACTGAGCAGTTTGGGCAGTTTGAGAAGGTGGGGTTTGCAGTTGCAGGCCTCGTCACCGAGACCATCGAATTGCGTGGGGATCCTGCCAGAGACCAAGTCGCCCGGAGGCAGGGCACGTAGTTGAACCGACTGCACGGCGGCCACTGTTGTCTGTGACCCAGCAACCCATACGTTATGATTTGCTTTCCAGCTGGGAACTTCGAGACTTTTGCCGAGGTGCCCCCTTCTCAGCAACTCGTTGGAGCCCTTGTGTCCCGCTTGCCGGCTTCCGCCATGCCAACGATGGTGAAGCTGGCAGAGTTTTCTTCAGGGAAGCTTTGGAGAGTTTGACTCTGGGACCATGCGGAGAGCAGGTGCAACATCTGATGCCCTCGATGTACGATGCTGGCCCCTGAGATGAGCCCCTATACTCTGTCGCCAAAGGCTTGTGATGGGATCTAAGCAGAAAAGACCACAGAGCCTGAATATGCAGAAAATAAAGCACCACTTCCCCCGGTAGAACAGCGTTAAGGCAGCAAGCCCCTTCTTCAGGTTGACAACAAGGCGGCAGAGACAGGCGTCGACGCGCTGTACTTGCCGCTTGCCTGCATCCTAAGCACCCACCAGGCTAAACCCGAGACTCCTAGACACCAACCCAAATCACAAACACAAGAACCCAGCACCCAAAAACCTAATTGGCCCAAGAGACTGCACGTGTGATGGGAGAACTGCTAGCCAAACACGATCTCAAGCTGTTTGCAGGCACTTCGACCGAAGCTGACATGCCCTGTAAGACCCTGTACTTGGGGGATCCTGGGACTTTGCAAGTAAGGTTATAAGTACGGTAATTCGTGCTATAAGTCATAGGTTTAGTTACATTATGTATAACCCTGGGTCCTAAGTCCCATGATCCTTTCAGGAAGGCGACTCTAAGTCGCGATAAACACCCCACTCCCTTGTCGCCGCCAACAACCTCAATACTCCAGACCATCATTCCCTAAACCCCAATAAACTAAGTCCTCTAGGCCCTCAGAAACCCCTTCAAACCCCACGAGCCCTAATCCGTTTAGATCTTGTAGTCCGTAAATATGAACTCTATAAGCCCTATTTGCCAGGTTCTTTGTTCTAGGTCGAGTGTAACCTACCCCCAAAACTCTGTTAAATACATCAAAACCAAAACCCTAAACCCTGAATCCTAGACCCTACAAACCCTAAATCCTAAACCCTACGTAAATCCTAAAACAAACCCTAGTATAGAACCCTTTTGGAGCCTTGAAAGGCACCCTTACAAGCAATCCCGGGAGGTCCCGAAGCTGAGCCCTTAAGACACTTCCCCCCCGTTGATTCCCCTACTAATCGGTTAGGGTTTAGGGTTTAGGTTTAGGGTTTAGGGTAGGCCCTAATTAAAAAAAAGCATTGGGGCGAATCCGCCCGAAGTCATCATTGCCCTTTAAAGCAATTAGGGGAGGGGGGGTTCGAGGCTCCCAATACTCTTAGAGCACAGTAAGAGCAAGAGCAAGAGCAAAGCAAAAGCAAGAGCGGGAGTAAGAGCGAGAGCAGGAGCAAAAGCGGGAGCAACAGCAAGAGCAGGAGCAGGCGCAAGAGAGACAGCAGAAGCAGGAGCAATAGCGCTACCCCTCAAAAGTGGCAGTAGAGATAGAAATACGCCCTAAGAAGAAAAATGCTTTCCAAGTTTTCTATCTTGGGAGGGTTTAATATCAGGGGGAAGCGATTAGAGCATGCCCAGATCCCCCGGGAAGATATAAAAAGTAGATGATCCCCTCATTTGGGGTCCTATGCTTCTAATAGTAGCAAAGGGAGACTAAAGTGTACCTCATAGGAACCCCCTTACATGTGTCTGGGTTGAGGTGCTGATGTGGGCCTAGGGTGAGAGTTATGGGGTTAGGCAAGTAGGGGCTTAGGGTCTTTGGGTTTTAGGGCTGAGGTGGAGTTTGCATACCCAAGCCTATCCCAAATGACGAAAGTTGGCCCACACCGAATATTTCACAGCAAGAAAAGGAAGGCTGATCACAAGCCGCTGTGAACCCTGAACCCTGGAAGAGGCAGCCAAAAGCCCTGGCAGAGCAAGCCTTAAACCCTCAACCTAAAACCCTGAACCACTGAGTCGTGAGGATCCTCGAGTCTTCCTGCGAGAAGATGGACGCGGAGGCAGCTGCCAACGTGGTCAGCACCGTCTTCGAGGAGGCTCGATCCCTGTGGTCCTGCAATGGTGACAAAGGGGAGGGGTGAGTGGGGGCCCGGAAGATCCTAGTATAGAAAGGTGAGGTTAGGTTCGCTTCCGCTTTTAACCGGGTGCGCATTGGTTCTGGGTGGTTGTTTTGGATTTTGAGGCCGAGGATGGGAAGAAGGCAGCTTCTTGGAAGCTCACAAGGTAAAGAC